CGGGGCTGCAGCTGGATGGTCTTTAAGGTCCCCTCCAACCTGAGCTGTTCTGTGAGAAATAAAAGTGTTGAGAATCTGTGGCAGCTGCAGTCACCACGCTGAGCCTTTCCCTGTCCGTGAGGTTTTTCCATTTGCACATCATTCTTCAGGCAGTGAGATGTCAGCCAGCAATTTCAGGTGGCTGAGAAGCCCGAGTGCTGTTTCTTCTCGTACCTGAGGCCTCGTCTGTTTTCCTGAATAAACTTTTTTCCCCCCCACCACTCATGCTAATTAGCCAGAGCTGGAAATTTTGGCTGACAAGCCTTGATCACTTTGCCAGGGGTGTCACATTTTGGGGTTGATGTTGGAACTGACCTATCTGCCTTTTTCCAACCTGTTTAGACAACATTTTTAACATCAAGATGCAGGAAGACAGAGCTCAGCTTGCATTGCCTGTCTCTAGCAAAGCTGGTGCAGCTGTTGTGCCCTGGTGCTGTGATAGTGTGCCAGTAGGCTGCTATGTTGGATTTACTTTGGGAACGCTTGTAAAGTCAGTGCCCTTCAGTCTCAGTGAGTCAAGCAGATTCTCTGCTGTTCACTGTTTTGTGAGTACAGCATTGCACACATTGCTGCGTTTTTCTTCTGGGATGAGGAACTGTTTAAAATCTTTGTCCTCAACTATAGCAGAAGTGATCTGGAATGGCTTCAGAGTTAGGAGGCGAGCAGCAGAACCCTCTTAGCATGTCAGGAGCCTGGCAGCACTGCCCCGTGATTGCAGGGTGTGCTGCTGCCTTTGACTTAGTTTTAAGGAGTTACTCTGCTCAACAGCGCCCTGCCTTGGAAGTGAGCGTCTGTACCAGCAGAGGATCGAGCTGTTTGCAGTGGCTGCAGGCTGAGTGTGAGGAGCTTGGGGCTGTGCAGGTAGAGCACAGGTTTGCAGTCCTGTGTGGAGAACGTAGTGAAGCACATGTGGGGCACTGAGAGCCAGCTAAATTGAGAGAGAGCGTGTCTGACTGCCCTAGAGACCTGCTCTGAACGCTTTCATGTTTTGCTTGCTGAAGGTTCTGGACATCCTGCAGCACATCCAGGCTCTGGACCCATCGCAGCACGGGGCTGTGGGGTACCTGGTGCAGCACACCTTGGAGCACATCGAGCGTCGGAAGGAGGAGGTGGGACCTGAGGTGAAGCACCGTTCGGATGAGAAGCACAAAGAGGTCTGCTTCTCAATTGGGCTGATCATGAAACACAAGAGGTGAGCTCTGCGGGGGATTCCCTGCGCCGTAAGCACGAGTGCAGAAGTGTTTGTGCTGGCAGTAATGAGACGTGGTTCTGGCAGCCCAGCAGACACCTGGAGCCGAGGGTGCCTGGCACGTGTGCCTGTGCTGCGTGTCTTCTCAGGGAAGTGGGGGCAGATCTGTCCTGTCTGCTCCTTCAGAGAGCAGCACTGCTGCTCCTGTGTGCTGGGGGAGGTTTGTGAGGTGCTGTGTGAGTCATCGTGTGGCACAGATAGCATTTCCACAGTGCAGAGCTCTTGAAGAAACATCAGTAATCAGTTAATGAGGAGCTGTGGAACAGAATCGATTTCCAAAGAGATGAGATTCCTAAGACAGCTTATGAATCTTGTGCTGGGCTATTATTACCTCTCCTCCTGCACTGCACAGAGCCTTTGTGTTCCTGCCTGTACGGCTCTGCCAGAATGACAAGCTAGCTCTGTTTCTTCAGCCATTTCTCCATCTCAGCAAGATGTCTGGAGCTTATTTTAAGAGCATCAGCAGTGCTGGTTGTGGTACCACAGTCATATAAATGCTCTGAAAATAACGCTGGCTTTGTTTCTGGCAGTTCAGTATGAGGACTGCCACGTCTGTGTATGTGAACAGAGGGTGGTTGTTTCCCCTCCCTGTTCCCAGTTTCCTGCTCTCCTGCTTGTTGACATCCCAGTCTCTTTCCCATCCTCATTCTTTCTTGAATCTGCCTTTCCTTTGTCCTTGGCTGTTTGTTGCTCCTGGTCACTTCCCCCCTCTCAAAACACCAAGTGCACACCAGTCTTTTGTGTTGATTTTGCTCTCTTTGCTCCCTCCTGCTCGCAGAAACCCTCCGTCCCATTTGTGCTGCATTGGCCTTGGTGAAAAGAGTTGGCTGTGAAGTTTTCTCAGTCTTTGCCATGAATTCTCTTTCATCAGGTATGGCTACAACTGTGTGATTTATGGCTGGGACCCTGCCTGCATGATGGGACACGAATGGATCCGGAATATGAATGTGCACAGCCTCCCCCACGGTCCCCACCAGCCCTTCTACAACGTGCTGGTGGAAGATGGCTCTTGCAGATACGCTGCTCAAGGTGAGCAGGAGCCTCCTGTGCTTGCTGTTCAGAGTGCAGAGAGAGCAAGAGGGTGCTGAAGGGAGCAACTCTCAAGCAGCAGGCAGGAAGTGTGAGTTATAATTGAAATAGGAAGGAAAATGATGTTGAATTGGTGGCAGGTTTCTTGCTGTCCGTGAAACCAGTGCTGCCAGGATTGAGTGTGAATCCACTTCCTTGAAATCTCTTACTGCCATAGAAGCAAGTCTGTGTTGGACACCATTGATTTTCAACTTCTTTCTGAAGTTTGAAATTCTGCGGGCAGCTCTCAGTGAGATCACAGCCATGCTTTGAGCAGGACCTGGAAATCCAGTGGGAGCACGGGGGGCTCATCAGGGCTGGGCTGTGAGCTGCTGTACGGGAGGCTGTGTGCCCAGATCCGGGGAGCGCAGGCAGCGTGGACCCAGTGCCACCCCTGGGAGGAATGGGACTGAAGTGAGCGTTGCTTCAGAAGGTGTAGGGGGGAAAAAACCCAAACAGCTCTGTCTTCATAGGTTTAAAGTGCAGGTGTTCCTCAAATGCGTTGCAGCCCTTCTTAGAGTGATTTGGCCTCGTTAAGAGTCTTTAAAATACAGATGTTGTGTACCATAGATTCATCTTAAAGCGTGCTCCTCAGTGACAATTAACCTGGTAATCACCTGCAGGGCTTCTGGAGTTGAGTCATCTCGCAGGGTTGTTTTTTTTCCCCTTTAATTGTTGATAAACAAGTATAATGAGCTCTGAGTACAGCAGATTCCCAAGCACAGCACTCTGCCTGAGCTGCAGGTTGGTGCTGTTGTCTGCAGACAGGGGAGGCCGGACTTTGTCCCTGCTGAGGCCTCGCTGCCTGTCTGAGGTACGGCTGCGTTGCCCTCTGTGCGTGCTGAGAGCTGCCTGCTTGCTGTCCTGCAGAGAACCTGGAGCACAACTCGGAGCCTCGGGAGATTCCTCACCCCGACATCGGCCGCTATTTCTCAGAGTTCTCTGGCACTCACTACCTGGCCAACGCCGAGCTGGAGCTGCGCTACCCGGAGGACCTGGAGCTGACGTGCAGCACGGTGCAGAAGATCTACAGCAAGGAGTGAACGCCAGCAGCGACCCGAGGACGGAAGCAGACCGGAGTGCAGCTTTACCCTCTTTGCAAGACTTGCCCAGGGGGCGAGTTTGGTGACAATCCTTTGGCTTGATGCACTGAAAACTGCATTAAACCTCGTAAGCGGTGCTATAGAATCTTTCTGTTGCCTCCTGCCTGTTCTGGCCCGCAGGGACGCTGTGGTGAGGAGCCCAGGCTGAGGGTCTCGCAGGGCTGGTGGTGCTGAGCAGCGTGCTGTCCTTTGGAAGATCTGCCCGTGAGCTGGTGCTGTGCTTGTCCTGCCTAGAAGGCCGGCACCGTGAGATCCCTGGCGTGGAAGAACCCCGTCTTCCAGAGAAGTTGCTTGTCCTTACAGTGTTGTGGGGTTTTGATTTGGTTGGTTTTGTTTTTTTTTTTTCTTAATCTGTGTCTCATGCAGGTGGTAGTTTTTAAAGCCTGTAACGTTCCACTCTGTCTTCTCCAGTCTGAATTTGTTGTCAGCTTCTGCTTCACCTCCACGTTCTGGTTGTTCACAGGTCCGTTCCCATACTGCCCATCCTCACAGGCCTGGGGCAGAGCCCTGCCAGCAGCAAGGCTTCCAGGGGCGCAGCGCAGCGCCGTTGGCTGCCGCAAGCTCTCCTAATGCAGCAGAGGAGCTGCTGCTCCCTCTCCCTGTCCTCACCCTGCCTCTGAGCACTGTGCCACTGAGCGCCCTCAGCCTGCCTCCCATCCCACATTGCTGTGAGCTCACAGCCATCACCGCTGCTGCCCTGTGCTCCTGTCGGTGCCCTGCAGCACAGCGGGGTGAGGACTGGGATGTGGCCAACCTCGGACGCAGCCAGCCAGGCCCTGCAGCTGAGATGCTGATTCCTGCAGCTTGAGGCCTTTTGCCTGCTGTCAGAAGTGCTGGATGTGGGTGGGGGCACTTACCCTGCCCTTCTGGGCGCTGGGTGTTTAGCAGCTCCATGCACGTGAGTTTCAGCACAACCTGAAGGCCCGAACAGCATCTCTGCAGAAGGGGTTTTCCTCTGCATTCAGGTATTAACAGGATGCAGAACAGCAAAGCGTTGTCGTGCATGCAGAGCTGCACGGCTTGGTGGTTGGTGAAGCAGAGCCTGCGGGCTGCAGCCAGTGCTGCTCTCCGTGTTTGCTTTAATCCAAGCTTTAGAGCAGAGCAATAGATGCTGCCTGCAGGTGGAGGCTCTTAAAGCACTTGGGGAATGGCCACAGGAAATCTCACACCCCTCCTCCTCTTGCCAGAGCGCTTGACCTGCTGCATGCCCTCCTGCTCACGTGTGACAAACAAACACCGAACGTCCTTTTCCCCGCGGTGCTCCGCAGCGCTGAGTGCTGGAGGCGGTGCCGAGGCTGAAGTAAAAGTGTCTTTCAACGTGTGTGTGCTGATGTCAGCTCTAAGGGGGGCAAAAAATCCTATAGCGATATGGGATGGGATGGGATGGGATGGGATGGGATGGGATGGGATGGGATGGGATGGGAGGAGGGGTGGGGGAGCGGTGCCCGCCCCCTCCTCGCTGCGCCGTCCCGGGGCGGTGCTGCCGGTGCCGGTTGGGCGGAGCGCTCCCCTCCCGCAGCGCTGCCGGCGGCGCGGTTCCCTGTGCGCACAGCGACGGCGGGGCGATGGGCTCGGCGCAGTCCGTGCCCCCCGAGATGCGGGCGCTGGCGGAGCGCACCGGCTGTGAGTAGCGCAGTAGGAGGGGGGGGTTACCGGGAGGGGGGGCATCGCCGTGGGCTGGGAGGCGGTTGGCTGATTCCCGGTCCTGGCGGCACCCCGCGGTTCGGATCTGGTAGGAAGGACCGCCTCCAAAAAGTCCCACGGAGAAGAAAGGTCGGGGCCGGAGGGGACGCAGCCCTGTGGGGGTGCACAGCGGGACCCCCGGGCTGCAGCCGCTGCTTCCCATCACCCCTCTCTTCCCCCCCCCAGGAACACCCGCAGCCCAACAGCCGTAGGTGGAGGGCAGCCCCAAAGCTCCTTCATTTCAGCGCTGATGGACTCCTGGGGTTGATGTGGGACGCTGGGGGGGCTCGGAGCGCTGCCCCGTGCCGGGTTTGGGGAGAAAAAAGGGGAGAACGGCTCTTTTGGCATCGTGCGGGGCTGACCCTCGAGCAGCCCACGGGCGATCGCGGGTCCAATCGCACTGTGGCTGCGATCCCCTCTGAGCATCATCAGGGATTTGGGTTTGCAGTCACCGCAACAGCAGCAGGCGGACAACATCCCGGGGGTGGGATGGGGGGTGGTTGGGGGCCTCACCGTCACCGCAGAGCGACCCCGGAGCCCCCAGTGCTGCCCACGGGGAGCTGAGAGGCAGCACAGCGCCTGTGCGGGGCACTGTGAGCGCTCGATCGATGCGGCGCAGGGTTCAGGGCTGGGAAACGGCAGTAACTAATGGAGCCGTTAATTAAACATCATAAAAGAGAGAGGGAGACGGAGCAGCAGCTAGCGCGGGCCGTTGCTGTGCTCGTTCCGTTATCCTCGTGCGGCTGCGACGGGGCGCCCCCGATGTGTCCCCGCGTGTCCCCTCACCTCTCGCTCTCCCCCCGCAGTCACCTCGGAGCAGATCGAGCAGCTCCATCGGCGCTTCAAGCAGCTGAGCCACAACAGGAAGACCATCCGGTACGGGCTGTCCGCTGGTGGGGTCGGGTTGCAGGGGAGGGGAAGGGAGGAGGAATGCAGCAGCGATCCCTGGGCCCACGTCCTGGAGCATCGCACAGAGCTCCGTGTGCCGGGGACCCAAACCCTGGGCACCAGCATCACCCACTGATACACGGCGCTGCTCGCTGCCACTCTGAACCAGGGCAAAAGCTCACACTGGGGCAAAACCCTTTTCTTGTGGTCGGGTTGAAAGGACGGGCCGGGATTTCTGCCCGCAGCGTTCCCTCCCCTCCCGCCCTCTCTGCCTTGTTCTGTGCAGCAAAGAGGACTTCGACACCATCCCCGATCTCGAGTTCAACCCCATCAGGGCCCGAATTGTGCACGCCTTCTTCGACAAGCGGTACGTGCAGCCCCGAGGGGAGGAGCATAGAATCACAGCGTGGTTGAGATGGAAGAGACCTTACAGCCTCCAGCCCCTGCCCTGGGCTGGTTGCTCTCACCAGCTCAGGCTGCCCAGCACCCATCTGTAGCCATGAGCACCGCTGGGGACGGAGCACCCACAGCTCCCTGTGCAGCCTGGGCTGCGTGAAGGTTGGGCAGAGCTCTGGCCCTGAGGGTTGAGCCAGAGCCAGCCTGGGAATGAGGGAAATTGGAGCTGAGCTCTGGGGAAATGCTGGCACCGTGCTGAGCAGCCCTGGTGCTGAATGGTGCCCATAGGGAGGGCAGGTTGGGGCACTGCAGCCGCCATCCCCAGCAGCTCTGCTGCCATCAGGAACCTGCGGAAGGCGCCGGCCGGGCTGGCAGAGGAGATCAACTTCGAGGACTTCCTGACCATCATGTCCTACTTCAGACCCATCGAGATGGACATGGACGAGGAGCGGCTGGAGAGCTTCCGCAAGGAGAAGCTCAAATGTGAGGCGGTGCCGCGGGGCAGCGGGGCTCCAGGGGGCCGCACGCTGACCCCGCATCCCCTTCTCATCCCTCCCAGTCCTCTTCCACATGTATGACGCCGACTACGACGGGATCATCACGCTGCAGGAGTACAAAAACGTAACGTATGGGGGCAGTGGGGCCGCCTCCTCCCCGCCGCCGCCTCGCCGCCCACCGCAGCCCCCGCTGCCCTGCAGGTTCTGGATGAGCTGATGTCTGGGAATCCCCACCTGGAGAAGGAGTCGCTTCGTGCCATCGCGGAGGGGGCCATGCTGGAGGCGGCCAGCGCGTGCATGGCCCGCACGGTGCGAGTTCACACGGGGGGCACAGAGGGGCTGGAAGGGGCCGTGGGTGCAGCTGTGAGGGTTCGTCTCCCGCTGTGCGCAGGGCCCGGATGAGGTGTACGAAGGCATCACCTTCGAGGATTTCCTGAAGGTTGGTGCCTCGCTCTGCTCCCCGCTGCCTGCCAGCACCCGGCCCTGCTCACCCCTTCCCTGCAGGTGTGGAAGGGGATCGACATCGAGACCAAAATGCACGTCCGCTTCCTCACCATGGAGGCCATCGCTCACTGCTACTGACCAGGAGCAGGATGGAGGCTTCCCAGCACAAGGCCTCGTTCCACTCTCTAGAACCGTAAGAGGTATTTTACCTGTAATAAAAGGTATTTCTGTTTTTACTCTCTGCTGAGAAATGCTCCAGCCGCTGCCCGGTGCCTGATGGAGCTCCGTGTGAAGTTACGGCACCGTCTGCCTGACTGCACATCAACCCCAGATCTGCCACTGTGAGCAGAGCCACAGCACAGCTGGGATGGGGACAGCGGGGACACAGAGGGGCTGGAAGACACAAATGGGGGCACAGGGACACGGGGAGTGGGGGGTAAGGGGGCACCACAGGGACATAGGGATGCAGGGACGTGGGGGAGGAGGGATTGGGGAATGTAGGAATGTAGGGCCATGGGGACAAAGGGCCATAGGGGGGACAGAGACTGGGGGACACAGGGACACAAGGACTGGGGGATGCAGGAGGAAAGGGTCATGGGGACACAGGGATGTGGGATCTGGGGACCCAGGAACGCAGGTTTCTGGCTGCTTGTGGCTGCCACCCCCACACGTTCCCACTGGAAACGGAGACAACACTGCATTTACAGCACTAATAACCGGAGGCTCGAGGCAGATCTCTGTCTCTAAGGCAGCCCGAGCCAGGAGGGAGGGAGCTGGAGAAAAGGGCAGTGGTTATTTTTAGAAAAGCTGGAAAAAAAAGTGTTTGTTTCTGTCTTACAAACCCATTCCCCTTATGCCACGGCGCTGCTCCCCACCCAGCAGTGGGGCACAGCAGCAGTGGGGCCCGGTGAGCTCCCCAGCCCCAGGGCTCAGGCGCGGGCTCCTTCCCTGTGGGGACAGCACAGAGATGCTGCAGCACTGCACGGTGCCCTGGCAGGAGCTGTGTGCTGTCCTTCTCTGCCTGAGAACTGCAGCACAGCACTGCATTGCTGCAACGTTGAGGGGGAAAAAAAAAGCCCAACCTGCAGCCGCCGTTGCCTCTCCAGGACGTTTTCTTGGAGCATCAGCACTTCCCGCTCAGAGCTACTGGCAGCGGGCTGCACTGCAGCCAGCCAGCCCTACAGAGGATGCACGCAGTCACGGCTGCATGTGCTGCACCGATGAGAACCCACCGAAGTGGGACAGCAGCCCTTTGCAGAAACAAAAATGCAGCTCCATCACAGCGCTCTCTGGCTGGGTGCCCTCGTTTGCATCAGGAATGCTGGCTGAACACACAGTGCTGCTGTTCACACCGAACCAACCGCAGTGACGGAGCGGCAGCCTGCAAGGACCAGCCCACCCCAACCCACCGCCAGGAGCTGCAGCCGAGGGGAAGGGGAATCCTCCTCCACTGGAGGGGACCCCACATCCTCCAAAGACCGCATGGCTCGGTTCCCAACAAGTCCATGACCACCAGCCCCACTGCTCCAAGCCCATCTTCTAGCAGCACAGCGACTGCTGCAGCTGTCAGGGCACAGCGCAGAGGGACGGACGTGTCCTTGTCACCACAGTGCAGAGAGAGAGGGGAAGTGGCTGCCCGGAAAAGGTCCTGACATGCACTGGCATGAGGCAACTTATCTGCTGCTGCTTGCAGAGGCAGATGGAGAAAGAACAAAGCTGCCCCGAGATAATGAGGCCGAGATAAGGAAGGTCAGCCTCCTAACGAGCCAAGGACACTGAGTGAGAGGAGGCAGGGGGTGACAACCCTGAGGTGAGCAGAACAACAAAAGACAGCAGCTCTGTGCTCAGCCACAGGGCTCGAGCAACCCCAGAACTTACTGTGCCCTAACAGCTGTCACTTGCTGGACAGCTTTCATCCAAATTCTTCTCTGCTTCATGGATGCTTCTCTGCAATGTCAGTGCAGTCACTGCAGCCAGTGGTCCCTCCGCTCACTGAAGCAACATGTAGCTCTGCAGCAAGGACAGTCAGCAGCCCAAGTCCCTGCCAGCTGGGAACAGCCTCTGGTGCTGTTAGAGTGCTCAGCATGGGGAGTGCCTCATGCTAACCTGAGATGTGATGGGCCGTGGTTTCAGTGCATGGGGATCCGTTCACCCCAACAGACTCGGGAACAAAAGCCACAAACCACGCACATACACATAAAAGAATCAGAAAACATTTAATTTAGAATTGTAGAGAATTAAAAAAATAATTTGCTTTAAAACCATTGCTATGTGTGTCACTTGCTGTGGGTTTCCAGTCATCCAGGCCGGACACGGCCAACATTCACCTCATCAGCCCCATCATCTTCAGTGCCCCTGCCTGTTTCTGGACACATCCCGATGCACTCAAAGAGCAGCGAGCAGCTCATTATTAGGAAAGCAATGCCAGACACATGGGCTCAGCAAGGTGCTTTCTCCAAATCCCATTTGTCCTCCTCCAGGAGAGGCACCTGCAGGCCGTGCCCTCCTTGCTGCTCTCTCCCATCTCAGCAGTTTGCCATCAGGATTCCTGCCTCCCGAGCAGCCCATGCCCTCTGCCAGGATGGGATCTGCAGCATTCCTCCCACAAGCAGCAGGACAGAACGCTTCTGTTCACATCAAAGTGCACAGTTCCCCCTCATCCTCCAGTCTCCCTGCTCCCCTGCAGAGGATCTCTGGACCCTTGCACAACACGTTCTAGCATCAGCTTGAGGGCAGCCCTGCTCTGCTGTGGTTCACAGCCCCACCTTTTCAGCTAAAGCTCAGTGCTCCCCACCTGCAGCCAACAAGTCCTGCTGGTGCTCAGCCCCTCCGAGTCGCCCTTCTGCCTTCGGCCTCTCATGTGGCAGAGTGCTGAGCCAGGTGAGTTAGCTAGATGTGGTCGTAGGGCACTGCAAGGCTGATGTTGTAGTTGTAACCCATCACCTCGTCGTAGGAAGAGCGGCAGATGGGGAGGACGCTCTCCACAGCCAGCTGGTCCACAGAGAACTCGTAGGCATAGATGATCCCACGATGCCTGTATGAAATACATCCGAGACAGCACAGCATTGTAACTTCACTGTGTATTTCAGCAGGGATAACTGTCAGAGGTTGCCTGAAAAGTCCAACATTCAGTGCTTCAGAAGACGAACATCAAAGTTCGTCTTTTCTGCACTGGGGCTGTTTGTGCAGACGCAAGAGGAGAAGATTCTCTTCTGCCCCCCTCCTGCCTCCCTCCAGGGACCCCCCAACCCCTGCCAACACATTGCACTGCCTTACAGACAGGTTCAGAGACGTAGCTGCCGTCTGCTGGAGCATTGCTCACCCATTGGAGTGGGAGAAGGTAAGCACACCGCAGTCTGTCAGTTCCATCAGACACACTAATGTCCATAAATACCCAAATCTGCAGCTTAAGTACCAGCAGTTTTTCTTGAGGAGGAGACATCATCACTAATATTTAAAGTAAGGGAAAGACTGCATTCTCTGTCTTGTTTCAGAGGCCTTTATATTCACACCTTAATCACGAAATGCTTTTTTTCCTGTGCTCAGAAGTACGCAGAGAGCCAAAATTCATCAACACTTTTGAAAGGCTTCTCTGTGTTTTTTTTCCAAACACGCTTTGTCTCTGTTTGTGCTCTGGATGATGACTCAAGTGCATATGGAGCCGTTTTTAACGGCAGTGTCACGCTGTGCTGCAGATCCCAGCCCTCAGAGCTGCGCTCACCTGCGGTGTGCAGTGAGGTCGTCGTCCATGATGCTGGCACCGCGGGGCGTTTTCTCATCAGGGATGTTGGCAGTGATGAGGCTGTGAGAGTTAAACCACACATAGCGCACTGGATGCCTGGAAAACAACCCCCAAGCGCAGTATTAAATGAGAACTCATCCAGCTCACGGCCCCCCTCCAGCCAGGGCTTCGAAGCTGCACCTTTGGCTCCTCCCCGCCTGGCGGCGCCGGATGAACGCAGCCTTTAGCACCACCTAGCGGACGGCTGCCGCAATGCAGGCGGTGCCACAGCCCCCGAACCTGGCAGCAGGGCCAAGGCCAGCAGCAGCAAGGCGCACGGAGGAGCTGGTTGCTCCCCAAGGGATCACAGCACTCCCTCTCCAAAGCAGGGAGTGAGGGCTGATGCAGAGATGCCCTACGCAGCACATGTGAAGAGGGCTGGGCTTTCCTTCCCCCTAGCTGGTGAATCGGCTGACCCTGAACCAAGCAGGGCTAACAGCAGGTAAAGACTGCTCATCTCCACCACCCTAACCTTCCTCCTGCCCTCTCCCCTACCTCTGCCCTTGCCTTCCATTCACAGCACGGGTTACAGACACGGATACCAACTTCAGCATCTCTCCTCTACGAAGGCCTTTTGACTGAAGCATTCCTTTCCAAGTCCTACATAGATTGAACAGTATTTAAGCTCATGGTTTCACTTTGAGTACATCTCCCCCTCCACCTCAGAGCTCAGCAGATCTGCACTGCCTGCCCTCCTTCTTGGCATGCTCATTAGTGCTGCCCCAAAGGATAATCAATGCAGTATTGTCCTTAATGCACCTACTGCATCACATTGGGCTTTATAACTCACAGGGTCAAAAGAGAAGGAGATAGCTGCTATTAATTAATGACAGCTCCCACTTGAACTTCTCCGACTATAAATCTCTCATATCACCTCTGTGGGGGAGAAGCATTAATAAAATAACATCAGCATGTATTTGGGATGTATCTGTTCATTTGACTGAGAACAGTGCATCAGCTGGAACAGGTCGCCCAAGGAGGCTGTGGATGCCCCAGCCCTGCAGGCATTCAAGGCCAGGCTGGATGTGGCTCTGGGCAGCCTGGGCTGCTGGTTGGTGACCTGCACACAGCAGGGGGTTGGAACTACATGATCACTGTGGTCCTTTGCAACCCAGGCCATTCTGTGATTCCACGACTCTATGATTTGGACTTACTTGTGGCTAAATCCTTCAGGTCTTTATTCAGACAAAGCAAACTCCCCGGGAGTTTTGCCTCAATCAGAAAATGGTAATTTGGCTAATAGAAGCCACTAATAGCCTTCTGTCAGCTCCAGGATCCTTATCTCAGCTTGTACTTTCAGCTCCTTCAGCACTGCCTGTTCTGTGCTTTCAGTACAAACTGTTACTTTCCTATCAGTGTCTGTGTGTTTAAATACCAATCTGGCTTTGCTTGTTGCTGCTAAGGGAAACGTGGAGGAGCAGAACAGAAGCACAGGTACTGCAGGAAGTGTGACAAGTAAAGAGAACCAGTCACAGCGGGGACAACCGGCAGCAGTACAGCGCTTGAAGGCCAAGGTTTGGTAAAAACTGATGGATGGGGCGGGGAGAAGATGCTAACTGAAGTCCAAAGGAAATCCAGGGGTGGAAAAAGCATCCATTCTCCCTTACCCTGAGCAAAAGCACCATGAGAAGTGAAAAGCCCTCGTGAGCTAGCAGTGCACAGAAGCACACACACAGTTACCTGGCGTGCATCTCCCAGAGCTTGGCGCCCATCCGCTGGTCCCACACACACACCAGCCCATCTTCTCCCCCACTGACGATCTTCCAGTCGTCCATCTGCACTGCAGACACCCCCAGGCGGTGGGCAAACAGGGAGCACAGCGCTTCGCTCCCGCGCAGGTCGTACACCCTGACCCTAAGGGAGAGCAAAGAACTGGGATGAAAGCAGCTGCACTGAGAGCACGTGTTAGGCTGCAGCAGTACATGTAGGGCAGTGACACGGGTGGTTCTGAGGCAGACTTCTCACGCCGTGCAGGATCTCACTGTCTCTCGGCAAGTCTCAGGTGATAGAAATGAAATTTGGAGGTCATCTGTGTCTGTGCCCCCCAACCTGTGAGAAATGATGTGAGGAAGAAAGGCCATGCGCTCGGCACACCACTAACATCCCCTGCACCCAACCCACGTCCACTAAGGGCTCAGGAAAGATAAACTATTTCTATGGAGACAGAGGACTACATGTGTAGGAATCCAAGGGAAAAATCAAGGGGATCACAGGTTTCTATGCTAGAGTTATGACTGAGTACACCAGTACTAAACAAAGCTATCCTCAAGCACCAGCAACCAGTACCTCCTCTCAAAAGTTCACATACATATATGCATATATAAACAGTCTCTCTATATTGTGACTTTGGGCAGCTTTCAGGTACACCTGACTCAAAAAGAACTCAATGAACAGTTTGAAGAGAGGCTATGATTAAAGAAGAACTTTAGAAAAAGAGGAGAGGGCCTCAAGTTGTGCAACAGGTCTATAAAAGCAGTTAAAGCCAAAGGTGTCATTTTTTACATCTAGTATACACCACAAAGGAGGATGTTTCCTCATCCTTACGTGTCAAGATTAAGATACAGCAAAAGAGATAAAATGCAGTGAGTGAAAACAGAAGTAAGGGGAAATACTGATCTCAGCTGAAAAGCAGCCAGAGAAAGTTCCTCCCAGCTGAAGGCTATCAAGAATGAAGCCATCAGGTACGCATTAATTCAAAAAAAGGCCAAATCACACTTGTTCCAACACATTAGCTGTATTCTGTTCCACACTCTTGCCATGATCTTAATGGTGTGGCAAGTCTTTCCCTTTCCTTTCTCACACGGAGATTGCATCATAGGATTTTACAAATAACACATTTCAGCAACTGAAATAAAAGGCTGCAGAACGGTCCAAAACTCCAACTGAGCAACATCCATCTGACATGCAGAGAAACACGCTGGAACAGAGCGAGGAGCACGCTTTGTGTGGCTCTGGGCTCACCCCCAGGAAAAAACCCCCCCAAACAGTTGCTGATAGTGGAAAGGACTTCTTGCTTTCTCCAGCTCCAGCAGAGAGAACCTTTGGCTAGACATAAGAGCTGTGCTTTGGGTAAGGATGGGGTATTTTGGAAGTGCTCACACTCGGCACTCTCCCTGACTTGCTGCACGTGTTCTGTATGACAATCAAAGCTTCTTCTATTTGGTAAGCACAGTTGGAAACCAAGATGTGTCCTGGTTATTTCATTAGCAAGGGTCCAGGTTTCAGGCAGGTGTCCATTCTGGCACATCCTTGGAAGAATTAGAGTCACATGAGTCGCTTAGATGCGCTTACAAAAAAGAAAAGAGCATTTTGCAAATCTAATGTGATGCTCTAATGTGCTCTAATGCAGACCTGGCACTGCCCTCCATCTCCTGCCTCAACAGCTGGGCTCAGTGGGAGCACATCGGGCTCATCCCAGTTGAAGGGAGCTGTAAAGAAGGTGCTCTTCTGAAAGGCTGTGACTCTCCTATTC